TGGAACGTTCTGAGTCAGTAAAGCTGTCTACTCGAGTGAGCGTTAGATATCTAGTCTAGTTATAGGTACAACTATTTCTAAGTAACAAGTTTCATACTACTGTGTTAAGGTGAAAGGACTTTTAGCCGCACAGCCGCATCGGCCGGAATGCTGATGATGTGACCAAATATGAGGTCATTTTAAGAAATTCTAAGAAATTTTAATACCAATATTATCAGATTTGGACAGATTTTAACCATCATAAGCAAGCAACAAGTGTAAAATCTGATAGAATTTTGATAATCCTACTCTAAAAGTTTCTAAAATCCGGTTAAAAGGATTGAGTTAATGTTAAATAATGAAAACCTTCATTAATGGTTACATCATCAGCATTCCGGCAGTTGCAGCTCGGTTGTGCGGCTAAAAGTACTTTTACCTTAAACTGTAGGAGCATTGCCACAAAAAATAAGACGTGCTTTGAACGCGTGTACTTATAGTACAGGGTTTTTTTGTATGAAGACACGCGTTAATCGCGCGCCTAACTTTTTCTTACTTGTAAAATTCCAAGATAAGAATGACACCTTGTCTTATTTACAAACAAATCAAAATTTATTTCCTACCTACCTTCGCCGCCGCTCGCACTCCATTCGCTATTTTTTTAAATCATAAATAAGGGTCCGTGCCACGAAAGAGGTTCCACCCTATATTGCTCTTGAAATAAAACACATTTGCTTTTTCTCGCCTCAAGCTTTTCTTCGTGGCACGAACTCTATCATCACATTGTCATAATTGCGTTTGCGTAGATTTCCGCACAATGAAATCTTGACAGGATTAAATCAACGACCACACAGCCTACTAGACAGCAAACTTTACGCAAATTCTCTGTATTCCTGATGTAAACTCGCGCACAAACAAACTCTTTTTAGTTACTACATACACTCTTTTTAGTTGTTACTGCTACTGCTACTTGCAGTAGGCGGTTGAAAAACTCTGACACCAGGGTTCATCGGGTCGCTGAACGACTCGGTGTCCCACGCGAAGAGAGAGAGAGTTACTACGTTTTTTGGTATACGTCTGTATGGCAAAAAAGACAGATTTGGCATATTACATAATTAATTACCGTCATTAAAATGACATAAATTCTGTCAAATACCAAATCAGGTGTCGGGGTAAGGTAAGTGAAATAACAACTTAAGTCGGTGGTGAATAGTGACTTAAAAGATTACACTATCACTGGCCAATCAGAATGCACGCATTATCCTGCTTCCGAACCGCCATCCTCAACTTGTTGACAGAATGAGGAACTGTCTAGGGCCACTTAACTGGAAAAAAAGATGGCGCACTCCATCGCCACGTGAGATATATGGCGATCTAAGATGACCATAGAGAGCGCCATCTATATATTTTTTCAATAATGTGGCCCTGGACAGTCCCTCATAGTTTGCTTGCAAGTGTTGCAAGCACATTTAGCGTCTAGAAGTCTATGTGGTCGTTGGGTTAAGTACACAATATTACTACTTCTAAATTGTGTTTAAGTTATTTACAATTATTTATTGTGTAGTGTACTGTTGGTTTTGAAGATGTTTGTTATTGAAATATTAAAGGAAAAGTTAAACAAATGAATGGTAAAATCTCAGCAAATTAATCTGGTTTATTTTTGTTTTATTTACAAAAGATAGAAAAGAGTAAAACATATGATCCTATTTCCACTTACCTATAGAAAAATTAATTGAATGGCAAACTTCTATAACTGTTTGGACAACCTAGTTTGGCACAGTGGCACACAAACTTACGTTTAGCTTATATTATTGAACAGTGATAGTCATGCCCGCTTTTCAACACAGAGAGTTACGCGGAAATACCAAGACTAAGACTCTTAGGGCCTTACCACTAAAAAGTTAGACGAGCGTTGAACGCTTAACTAGTTTTTGCCTAACTTTTCTGTGGTAAAGCCCTTAGTACACAAATGGTTTGGGAGCGAATGCAAATGCGCAGCGAATTCATCGCAGACGCGCGGCAAGACGGAATCGTACGACATCCCATTCGAATTACACCGTCAATAGAAAAAAAAACATAATACCTCAAAACAGTAAAAAATGAGGTCACTTTTTATGGTTAGGGAGGAGTTACAGCATTCCACGACAGAGAAACGCAAAAAGCGACTTAATTTTATACTAGATACCTATGTATTGATAAAAAAATACGCTTGCATCGGCCTCCTCTTATTTCGCGCAAAGCTCCATTCGGTTCTGATTGCCCTCATTTGTTCGCATTCTCCACAGATTAAATAAATCAATTAGTACCGCATCGGAATAGTTTATTATTTTCGAAATTAAATCTCGACACACAAAAGCATTCTTCTGCTATGTCTCCATTAATAGTGAGATTTGCATTGCTCGCAGAAACGGCATAAATGTAAGGGTGTATCCCAAAATTACAATAATTTGAAAATATTTCCTTTCGAAAAGGTTTCACCAGCTGCAATTCGTTTTCCCGCGGGAAAAAAGGATTTTCCCGGTATGTGATAATTAAGTATATACATACAAATCTTCCTTTTTGTTCACACAATCTATTAACTTTTTGGTTACAAAGTTAATACAAACGAAGCAAGCGGAAAAAATTCACACCGCCGGCGGGATTCGAACCCATGTCTTCTGACAAGCCGGGTCAGACGTGTTAAGCCGCTACACCACGGCGGGTTCTGCCCGAGGCGGCGAAATTGTGATCCACTTGCTTCGTTCATATTGCTTTGTCACTTGACTACTCACGGGTAGCTTGAGCGCCATCTATGACTTTGTAGTAGAACTATACAGTCACTCAACTGACAACATTACGTATGTACAAGTTGACGAGAGATGGAGCTTTTTTCCGATTTGTAAATAGTATCTTGGGGAAAAAATTCTTCAAAATAGTAAACATTCACACGATCTATTAAAAATAACTGCATCTAAATCCGTTGCGTGGTTTAGGAGAAATTAGCGAATTACGCGACAGAATAACTCAAAAAGCGACTTCATTTTATTTTACGTATTGATTAGGTAATGACTTTCGCCTGGTGCTCATTCAGTTTGCCGAGAAAATAAAGAGGTATTAGTAAAAATCAGCCTATGGTGCTCAGGGATGTGCTGAAGGGTGAAGCAGTTTTAAAATCGTCCAGTAGCTTCTTAGATTATCGATTGCTTGCAAACAAAAAAAACTGCTATATCATAATACTGTTATAATATAACCACCGCAGGCGGTGCCGTTGTTTCAGACATAGGTAACTTTTTACGATTCTAAATGATTCTTTTCCGAATCGATCGACTGAAATCCATAGCAATAATTCCTGTTGACAAAGGTCATGCTTCTTTATTTCCTTTGAAATATCTTCTAAAATACCATCACGCAACGTCGATAATTCCTAAAGACGTCCTCCATTTTCCATTCTCATTTTATTACAATTTTGGGTCCACCCTTTCGCCCCCGGGACGGATTTCGCATTTTTCTCATTTCGAGAGGGATTTGATTGACTGTGGCCAATTACATTGATTGATGCAATGCCCTGATGGGGGTCTCAAGTGCCCTTACGCCGGCCCTGGTGATATATCGCCATCATTTATATCTGTAAAATATTTTTTTTCGCTATAAGTTGTTCGTGCAGCTTTTTACATGATATTATTGGTCAGTCTGACATAGGTAGGTTATTGGCATTAACTATATAAGTATTTTCTTTAGCTGTTGAAAATATTTTGAGAAGAACCAAAGTAAAATACAAAAAATCACCTCATAAAACGGAAAAAAGCATTCTACTACGAAAAGATGATGAGACAACCTGTATCTTTTGTCTTCGGCATTTCAGTTCGAAACCCACCCCAACACCATACAATAACAACCACACACATTATACTGTGTTCATTGTAGCTTGGTGATTTGGACAGGTGTCATGAGATTGACGGAGAGCCGTTTGAAGTGACTTTGAAACTGCGCTTGAAAAATGTTCGATAAATTAATATATTGAAACCACTATTGAATATCACTTGTATAGGTAATTATAAGTTAATTCAAATACAGGGTGTTAGGAAACGTAGTACGTTCTTCGAAACCACACGTTCTCTACAAACGCAATTTTTTATTGGCTGTTTTTGTAAGTTACGACTTGGCCGTCAGCCCTTTTTCTTCTTACTTCTTATGGGTCTAATTGCCACGAAAAGGAAAATGAATACCCTCATCTTATACTACATGTTGCCATGCAGCTGCCATCTTGGAATGCCACTATTTCTTAAAGCTACAATTCTGAAATAACTACCTGACTTTCTTATCATCTTTATAAGCATCCTCACGCTAAAAATCTCTAAATATCTAGCGAGAAGGCAGCGAATGTAAAGGATGATTAAGTCCTTTCATCCCGGCGATTGAGTTGCAACTGACCGACCGGCCAGCGACTTTTTAGTTGGACAAAAAAGTCGTCCGAGAAACGCGTCGCTTCATGTGAGATAAAAATGTCGCCGAGAAAAAGTCGCATGTTTGAACGGGCACCTAAATATCACTTGCTTAGGTATTTTTAAGCTAAATCAATAATAAATTATGTCTAAAATATCACACAATTATTTTTGTGTCCTAATAATCAGTAAACTTATTAGTTAAATATGCTCGCTGTGACAAAGTTATATCTCACAGTCATTAATGACGTAATGATAGTAGGTCTGGGCCCTAAATAATAGGCATGTTACTGTTATAATAACAGTGACTAGAAAATGAAGTAATACTTTTCCTTAGTCAAGCTTGATGCAGGTGCTTTTATAATTGAATAAGTACCAAATAAAACACTTCTCAAAAATTTTGCAAGTTTCCCAAAAATTGTTTAACTAACACGAAAAGTGTTTTAAAATTTGGTGATCAATTTATCGCGGGTTTTCATCGCTTCGAAAGTTAAAGAATAAATTAGTCGCTGAGAATTAGTTGCAAAAACTATCCCGGTAGATGGAGCCCATCCACGCTTTAGTGGACAAGACATACTTGCTTCATTCGCAGGCTGGATTAGATCCGCGGTAGCCCAGTTGGTTAGGGCGTCGGCGATACTGATGGCAAAGGTCGCAGGTTCAAATCCTGCCTGCGGAGAAAAATTTTGCAAGTTTTCCAAAAAATTGCTTTTATAACATCATTCGAGACTTCAAGAAATTTAATAATTTTCCTATTTTCAATTTAAATTTTCATGACTGGTGAAGGGGAATTTCTTCTGTCTAACTATTTTCGACCGACGAAATTTTACTAATATTGATACTCAACTAGATATAAAAATAATACCTACATTTCCTTGCGAAGATTTTTTTTCCAGATTAGCCTAGTGCCATCTTTGTACAGTTGAAGATTAGCTAGAAAAATTCCCAAAATTCTTCGTGGCCAATGTTTCTTAGTATTCTGGTCTTGACAGTGGAACCTTCCCTGAAAGTGGAGGATGATTTCCGGTGATATTTAACTGCGTCTTAAGGTTTTAAGACTTTTTGTTTTGATGATAATATTTTGATGCTCTTGACTTTTCACTCTTGCTGAATAAAGATAGAAAGACAGGACTCACTTGTGAGTGTCGCAAACTCAAAATGCTATTAACTAATTACTTAATTTCGTCGCCGTGTATACGACGCTCTCGACATTTGGATAAACGCCGCAACACAAGTTTCGAATGTAAAATATAAGGAAAGCAGCAACACTCAAGATACCAATGAGAAGGGACGGAAATTATGAAATCCTAACAAACGCGAAATAAACTAATTTTCCTGTGTAAATAAATATCTACTATTGAAGTAGGTATTGTTATATTATAGAGTTAAATTTAACATAGAGTAAATCTTCACTCTACAGGGTGTTAGGGACGGTGTAACGAAAACTTTGCAGGCGTGCTCAGATCTTGAAACTGAACAACTTTTACTATGGAGCCAATGGTGGGAAACGATAAAATTTTTTCGACCTCCCATACAAAGTCAGTCAGCTGATCGTGAATTTCACCGGTCGGAAATTTTTTTTCGTTTTCCACCATCGGCTCCATAGTAAAAGTTGTTCAGTTTGATGACCTGAGCACGCCTGCAAAGTTTTCGTTACACCGTCCCTAACACCCCGTATATACACTTGTTGTTGCGTAGTTGTTGTTCTTATTTATTACAATTCAAAAATACTTTACTTGATATTTATTACTGGTATTGAGTAGCTAAGCTAGTGTCGTACTAGTAACAGGAATCATACTCGTTGGTAAATTATGTTACATCCCTAAACTGTCTTCAGTTACATGACAGTGACGCTGTCCAAATCACCAAGCAAAAACGTACATACTATAGTCCACTGCTGGGCCTCCCCCTATCGGAGGGTATTGCCATAGTAACCACGCTTGGCAGGCGGATTGGCGAGCGCAGTTCAAGATGTGAGCGCATTTACAAGGAACGCTGACGCCCGTTCCCTGGATGATTATCCCCTTATCGCTTTTTACGACACCCGTGGGTAGAATTACTAAGCCGGCATCACTCGGCACGATACTCATAGTTTCAGTAAAACCTTCTACGACAAAAGAACGAAAATATAAAGAGTAAACCCCCAAATAAATCCACTTCGCTAAACCTTAAATGCACTTCGACAGACCACTCGTCCGTAAAAGCTCGAACACGTGAAAATTGTTATATAAACCAACATACAAACCAAGAGGCTTACTTTGAATATTACATTGGGGAGGGAAGCTCAGACCAAGAAATGGAGGCAGACGGAGCATGGCAAATAAAGTGCGCACTCAAAAATAAATATTTGATTCAGTCAAGCACTTGGTTTCATATCAAAATAAAAGAAAACAATCACTAGAAATTAATAAGTGCTTGATTATTTTATTAAAATTCTTAGTAATAGTAAACATATCACTTTAACTCAAAACAAGTGCTTCAATGAATCATATAATAATTTCTGTTAGTGTACATTCAAACGAACTTGACTAAGGCGTGTTACTTGTTTGCCACCGAGTCGATGAACTAAATTATGAACCTTCATGTGCCGAAAGAAAGAAACACAAAATATTCCTTGTACCTAACATGTGAACAGCATCTTTTTTTAACTTTATCTTTTTGGGATATATTATGGCGCTGTGGCTGTAGTCAAGTCCAGGGATATTTAATGAAACATAAAAATTGTTCTGAAAAGGAGTAACTGGACTTTTATTTATCTTTGTTATACATTGTCTGAAAAATGTAAAACGTGTTTTCGTGCTTCACTTTGGTTCTTTGCAACGTTACCTCCCACTTTCCCTTGATCTGAGTGGGAAATACTCGGTCGACAGCCCTAAAGCTGCTTTGCATGCAAAATACCGACAGCGACGCCTACATACCGACGATTCCTGTTTTATTCTACACGACGATGGAAAAATTGCGGAAAAGAGTAGGTATAAATCGTTGTAACGCTATGGAAAATTCTTGAAAATGTATAGAAATTTTGAAAATGTTGGCTGCATGATGTGAAATTCGTTTGCTTCTAGCGTAACGGATGGATTCCAAAGATGAATTCTTGGATCAAAGACATGAATTTAATAAAAATAAAATACCGACAGAGAGACGCCTACATTCACATCGATTCCTGTTTTATTCTCGGTGGCAAAAAAAAACAGATGTAACAGGACTTACATTTGGGTTTAATCGCGGTAGGTATCGCGACGGTTTCGGTCCAGTCGATGGACCTTCATCGGGCGGAGTGACATCTGTACGCGCTAGCGTCTCTCCTGCCACTGCAATTGAGTGGCAGGAGAGACGCTACCGCGATTGAACCCAAATGTAAGTGCTAAAATCCGTGTGATATATAATTAAAGTTAAAATGGCGCACTTAAGTTTAAACAAGTTAGATGTAACAGGCTTTGGAATTTTAGCTGGAAAAACTTAAAAATAAGCTAATATGTATCCCGATTGGCAACATTATCGTTGACGTCCCGCTCGTTATGTCATGTCCTGCTCATTATGTCACAAAGAGGCAAACAATAATGTTGCCAATTCGGGATTTATTCTTTATCTGCGCAAGTTATAGTAAGACCTCTTTTCTTTGGCTATATCGTTTAGGGAAGATAACATGAAAAATAGCTATTATGTAGGAAGTTCTAAATGTTTTGAGAGTTTTTGTAACACATTTTATTAACTGAATTAAAATACTTATTTTTTCCCGAGTTCTGACGATCCTACTCAATTAGTAGAGCTACCAGAGTAGCCGACTCAATTCTCCGAAAACATTAATTACCTCTATCTATCAAGTACCTGGTAGGTAATATAATATAGCTTGTTTGCCACTTATACCTACATACCGAAATCTAAAGAGACGTGTTTAAACCTTTTACCATGCCAAAAAAGCACAGCTAGAATGTATGAAAGTACAATGTTAATAACCTGCCACTACCGCCATCTACCGCATTCAATAGGGCAGCCTGAACTAACCTAACACCTCTTTATATTCAAAGGCGAACTTTGTTCATAACAACGTAAACATGCCCGCTTCTGATATACAGGGTGTCCTATTATTATCTTAGAACTAGAATGAAGTAATAAATTTTTAGATTAACAGCATTTTTTTTCATACCTAACTAGAGTCACACTCTACAAAAAATTAAGTTCGAGTTAAAATGCTCTTTGTAGAGATGGGATTTGACATTGTTTTGTGTTTTAGGACCAAGAGCCGAAGGCGCTACCTTCACACAATATGAGACGTGCGACGCGAGACGCCGAGACGTTAGAAGATACATTCTGTTTCACATCTCACATTTTATGTGTGGAGAATAGTGGAGATAGGCCCTCAGAGCAAGTGACGTAAATATGTCGTTATCAATTCCAAAAGTTATGCAAAACGTACAACATATGCAGAAAATCCGTCTAAAAGTTGGTATCCTGAAACTCTACAACCTTCACAGATATTAACGTCAGTTGTTCTAAGGATCTTGGGCATAATAAAAACTATACAATGTTAAATGCCGCCATATGGTTAATCTGGCTGGCCCCAAAAAGAACTTATTTTTAAACTGAAACTCTACAACTGTTACAGAAATCTTCTTTACCTATAGCTTCTTCTATTCATAGATAACTGTACAGGTAGTAAGTGAAACATGACGTTCAAAGGAAGACTACTTTTCCGAACACCCTGCTGTAAACCTAGCTCTATCATAAAAGGAGATATAAGCGGCTATGCGTCGTGATATTAGAAGTTTCATAGACTAACAGGAGTAAAAGACCTTGCAAGGATACAGTTTGAAAGTAATCGATTTAAATGGCTCGACGTAATACTTACAAGCACTTAGCCAAGAAGATTTGCTTTGAAAAACATGTGAATAATATAACTTTTTAAGCACTCTTGATTACTTTCACACATACTAGTTACTTAAATGAAACCCATAACTAGTATGTATGTGAATAATAATTCGAACAAAAACTAACTTTATTATTAGTATTAGTCTTATCAAAGCGAGAATTTAGATAATTAATTACTTTCTCCCGCAACTTTTTAATAAAAGTGGTGTCTACGAGTAACTAATGATTTCAATCGGAAACTTTTTGTTTACATTTGCGTAAATTGGTAAAGCTTAAAGCTTTGGTATTGCTACTAATATTGTAAAATCTAGAATCTAGGCAAAGTCTTCTCTAATGTCTAGTCTTTGGTTGTCTTCCATCAGAGAGCTTCTATACTTCGGCTACCGCTTTACGTGAATGCCAAAGGACTTTGAGGGGCGGCGGCTTTGGAAAGCGGATGCCTGCGGTCGTTGCCAAAGGATTTTGAATTGAAATCATTTCGAGTCAGTTTCTAGCATATTTCATCTGCGGCCACGTCCTTTACGGTTACTTAATCTATGGTAATTTAAAGCTAGGAATTACGAATTATCATTCAAATAAGTATGCGAATGAAACTAAATATTTTTGCAATAAACTGCTGTCGAAAGCTGAAAAGATATTAAAATAATGAAAAATATACATACCTTCAAAATCTACGATGTAAATCCTAGTTCTAAGCTACCACCTTTAATATTAACAACAAGCATGCACAGGTATGAAAATGATGAAAGAATGTAGGTAAATAGAAGTGTTAAGAAAGAAGCTGACACCAATCTACCAATTATGTTCCCT